AATACAACATGGTCATTCAATTGCATATGCATCCAGAGCAATGACAATTACACAACAGAATTGTACACAAATCGAAAAAGAGGCACTTGCAGTTGTATTTGGATGTGAAAAGTTCCATCAGTACATATACGGGAAAGAAATTGACATAGAAAGTGATCATAAGCCACTAGAAGCTATATTTTAGAGACCAATTGGCAGCGCCCCACCAAGAATTCAGAGATTCATGCTAAGATTACAGAAGTACAAATACAACATGTACTATAAACCAGGCAAATATATGTACATACCAGATACATCATGTACACTATCCAGGGCATACCCTAACAAATGTGATGCAGATGACGACTTGGAAATAGAAGCCCAAAGTTCACATGGTGACAAAAAGCTTATCCTTGACACCTGAACAACGTCAAAGGTATCAGGAAGCAAACAAAAATGACAAGTCACTACAGACCCTTAAAGAAACAGTTAGGAATGGTCGGTCTAATAGTAAGCAGGAAATTCCATACAACATAGCAGAATATTGGAGTTGTAGAGACGAGATAAGCGAGGCTGATGGACTAATGTTTAAAGGTGAAAAACTGATAATCCCTTGTGAACTAAGAAGTGACACACTCAAGAAACTACATGAAAGTCATATGGAAACCGACAAGACTCGCAAACGAGCTAGAGATGTAATATTATGGTCAGGAATGTTTTCTGTGATAACTGACATGCTGTCAAAGTGTAGTACATGTTTGAAGTATCGACCAAGGAACCAAAAGGAACCCTTGATACCACATGAAGCCCCAGAAAGACCATGACAGAAGGTGGGGACTGATTTGTTTACATTCGTGGTAAATGGTAAAGACTGTCTTACAACCATTGACTACAGTACAGTTATTATTTAAAATGACAGTACTGTGTCTGCAGAGATCATGACGCAGCTGAAATCAAGCTTTGCTAAATACGGTACTCCAGAGGAAGTAGTGTCTGATAATGGACCCCAGTATGCATGCTACACATTTCGGAAATTTGCAAATAATTGAGGGTTAAAACACACAACGTCCAGTACACGATACCCACAGTAGAAAAAAAAAGCAGTTGGAACAGTGAAAGCATTACTAAAGAAAGCAATGGATACTGGAAATGATCCATACTTAGCACTACAGGAATACAGAACAACGCCAATTTCTGGTATGAAGCTCAGCTCATCATGAATAGACGACTGAGAACCTAGATAACAACATCCCACTGCCTCCTACAGCCAAAGGTGATACCGCAAGTACCTGAAATACTGAAAGATAGACAAGCATTGCAAAAAAGATTCTACAATAAGAGTGCAAAGCCACTACAAAACATATATACAGATGACACAGTCACAATGAAAGTTGGAAGGATTTGGGAACCTGCATTAGTGGTTGAGTAAGCTAATACACCACATTCATGTGTTGTGTCTACGCCAAATGGACTAGCAGACATATCGTTGAAATCATCATGACCTTATTAAAACAGTGGAACCACCACCTGAAATTGAGGTTCCATACCAAGACGACACCCGCTAGAAACACCAGACATATCGCCAACCAAGCAGTTGTCCACAGCACCACAATTATCAAGAGTTAAGCAAGAATATAGAATCATCCGGAAGACTTGTAAAGAAGCCAGCAAGATTCAGTAATGAATAGAATATTTAATAGACTAATTAGATGAACATCAAGTCACTGTGGCAGAGCAAAATAATCTCTGGCTTGATGTATGGAGGCAATAGTCTACTTGTTCTCCATTTAAGGTTTATTAGTTGAGTTAAATTTATAGGTGTGGTTATTACTAGTTCAGTTAATTATCACATTAGACAAATGATCAATATTATTATGCAGCTATGACATTAACATCAACAATTTATCGAATCTATACACAAATTCAACAATTGACTCAAAGTCCAGACTGCATGAACATATCATCCAACTAAAAAGAGGTGTCATAGTAATGCATGTTAAGCATTTATATTTCAAATATGAATATGCATGATAAACAAATACCCCGATCACTGTATTTCACACATGCACAATTGCACTTGCTTCTTGTCATGTTGTTTAATAAAGCAGTCACGTAAACAAATTGCATTTCTGAACAGATAGAGGGCGATATAACCATTTGATTTTAACAACTGATATAAAGGCACCACATTCATCATGCCACCTCTTATGTGGGCCCAAGGTTAGATATATGGATATTCCATGACATGTACACTATTCAACCAGCGTATTATTAGATATACAAGTGACCTTTAATGTAATGTTCAGTCTCCTAGCCATTTATATTACGTCCAAAATCTAGGTAACTGGTGTAATGATGAGTAAGCAATACAAGAAATAACTGACAAATGTAACCAAATGTGAAACATTTTGTATTTGCCATTTTTCTCTTTGGAAATTTCTTACTATCTGAATTAGTAGCGAGTAGTTTCAATTGTGAAATTTATAAATATTTATTAAGATGAAAGGAATGCATTTATTGCACTGAGAGCAAGTGTAGTGTTATTATTTATATTGATTTCATAAAATTTGAATACAACTATTGAGTTCATTTTTCAAATAAGAATGACTTTATAATGTAAACATGAACCTATATAACCAATATACATTTGAGAAACTTGGTACGGTATTTATCTACTGTTTGAATGAACAATGTTTAAAGGGCGGTGGTCTTCGCGCAGTGTCCTGTTCGACATGGGAATCATACCAATGTACATAATGCATATAAAATACTTTGTTTACAAGAAATTTGAACATGCACTGTGCAACGATCGCTGTCATTAAGTGCATCTTCAATGTGCATGTTCATGCAATGCTTTTAACCATTCTATCTTCAGGTAACAAATTGTTAGTCCTATTGAAACAAAGTATACACAACCAAATTCACCCAATTCCGTTTTTTTTGCATGAAAAACATTTTAATAATTGCACAAAAAACAGATTTGCCTAGATACAGTAAATCATGTCTAAAAGCAAGACTGAGAATATCGTTTCATTTACAGACTGGTGTTTTATTTTGAAGATGAGACTGGAGCAAGCAGAATTAACAAACAAACAATCTGTCAGTCTTCAAATACATCTTTCTTCTTGATGTTATTAGCTTTGAAGTAATTTGGGTTTCCACCATATGTTATGTACAGAGTGTACACTGGCTGGAACTCCGGCGATCGCACGCAGATGACATACACAGATGACGTTCAGAAAAACCAGGTTCCAGCTTTATTCATCCAAACTGTGAGCTGGGGAGTAACACCCCCCCCCCCTGACTCCTTCTTTCCTTAAAAAATCTGAAAAACTAAAATAAAACCTAAAGGCATGGAAGAGTAAATGTGCGATCAGCCAATCAGGTATGTGTCTCATGGTTAAAGCATTGCGACATTGCCAATACTGAATACAATTAGTCAACAATCTATTTATAAAATTCCTGTAATATATGTTTAAAAAGTCTACTTTAAACATGCAAGTTGTTGCTTCTAAATAATACTTCAACGTCTTGTGAACAAAATATGCGTACATGATGTCGTTATGGCAACAGTATTCTCTCTAAACCATTAAAACGCAACATTCAACGCAATTGTAAATGTGCGATCAGCCAATCGCTGCAGCCGTTGGTTGTTTACCAGGTATGTGTCTCAGCATTGCGACATTGCCACTACCGAATACAATTAGTCAACAATCTATTTATAAAATTCCTATAATATATGTTTAAAAAGTCTACTTTAAACATGCAAGTTGTTGGTTCTAAATAATACTACAATGTCGAGTGAACCAAATATGCGTACATGATGTCGTTATGACAAGAGTATTTCCTCTTAAACACTTAGCCACAACATTTGTCGCAATAGTATTGATTATGGTAGTATAAGTACATGCAGTATAAAATAGGTAAGCTGTTATTTCTACTTTCACAATTCTATTAAGTTTCAAATCATGCACATTTGTAGTTAATTTGCTTAAAACAAGTACAGTTATACTCAATGTTATGAACTGGATAAAATTCAATAGAAATGCCGATTGTGTTAAAACGTTAGCCATTTGTATAAAACACAGCGATGTATAAAACACAGCGACACTTTTCCACAACTAAAGATGCAGGAGAAATGAATGAGGTGTGAAAAAACATGGAGGGCGGATACAGAGTGCGGACAAGAAAATAGAATAAAAACACACTCTCAATCTTTTCCACTATTACAAATTAAGTGATACAACAATTTACGTAAACATTTTTTGTATTAAGAAATTTTCAGGCAATAATTTATGCAAATGCAATTGGTAGCTACAATGATGAAACACGAGGTCAATGACACTGCAATAACAATGTCGCCCACAATAATGCATGCTGTTACAGTCCTAGATCAGGTAGTACCATTTCAAACTAGTGTACTACTCATTATGTGTTGATTCCAACACCCATACATAAATGCATTAGTTGGTAGTTTTCCAGGTCATGTATATTATTTGCCGTCCATTGTTTTCCCACTCGCACGCTGTCCATTTCTGAAAGTACGTTATATTCGCCCTCAGTGTTTTTCACATCTCGATATAAACACATTATAAGTTAAAACCCAACCTCACTGCGGCATTTGTTTTGCCTTTCACCAGAAACAAACAGACCAATAAATTGTAAATGTTCATAGTAGTCATAATCATATCCAATAGACCGTACTACTCCCAAAGCAGTGTTAAGTGCTACACAGAATTCAGGACAATATTATACAACACATGCCAGTAACCAAATGATAAGACAATTCATTCTCCAAATGAAGAGTATATCCTTTTGTGATATGTTTACTTCTACTTCATAGTGTTATTTATAACAAATTTTCAAATTGTATAATAAGTGACCTTTTACATGTATAACGTGTTATTTAGAGGCATAGTCGATGATTTTGTTTTGCAAGTTCATATAATATTTTACTTTCATCCACGACAGATGAACTATATCTGCAATTAAAATATGTTCCATTGTGTGTATTTATATTTTCACTCAACGAAGACCGTAATGCATTTTTTAGTGTTATCTACAACTGCGATTTTACCATCAATGCTGACCGCTATAGCAAATAGTTCACTCCGTGTATAACCACCACAACACCAAAATGTTTCACGCCATGTATAATCACCATCATCATCATCAATCCCAAATAGTTGACTCCATCTAAGATCAACAATCTTACGAATAAACTGACCATTGCTGTCATACTTATTGACTCTACAACAACTGCTCACATATACAAAATCATTTTCATCCACAGCCACACCCCTGGGACGAGACATTGGAGTGGAAGAGAAGGCAAACATGAATTCATCATCATTGTTGAATACCAGAATTTGGTTGTCAACCTGATCTGCCACATACACTATTCCATCACTGTTGATAGCTAAGAATTCAGGTTGGTATAACTCTTGTAATCCAGATCGACTTCCAAATGACTTGACATAGTTACCATCTTGTGTGAACTTCCTAATACATCTCGTTACATCCTGCAAATCAGTCACATACACGTACTTCGTAACAGAATTAATTGCAATCCCATATGGGTCATCTAATATGGAACTTCCAAATGATCTGATAAACTTTCCATTTTCATCAACCACAACTACTTTTTGGTTTAACGCATCTACAATAAAGTACTGATTTTCATTAGATATTGAAATATCTCTTGGTTCAATCAAGTGATCATGAGTAAATTTAAACGATTGTTTGTATTTTCCATGTATGTCATGTATAGTTACTCTGTTGCTATTAGCATCTGTTGTGACAAAGTCACCATTTTTATTGATGGTTATTCCGAAAGTATCATTTAAATTTCCAACTGTTAAAACATATCCACTGATGACATCAATATTGAATGGTGATCCTCGTATATGTTGTCCATCGGTTAATCCAACCTTCACTTCAATTTTGTGTTGCCCTGCCATTTTCCCAGAAAAAGTCACAGAGTAAGTCCCATTATTGTTATTCACAATGTTTATATCTTGCATAATCGATTTCGAAGGAAGTGTCATTTTCGCACTTACATGTGGAGGAGTTTCAATTCGTTTTCCTGTAGAATCTCTGATTGTGATCATCAGGTTGACAGATTCACCTTTCACGAGTTGTTTTGGGATGTTTTCAATAGTGCTTTTGAATGGAGAGGCAACTTCAACAACAATGTAAGGTTGTGCAATCACCATGGCAATAAGAATAATTGCTACTGTTATTGCTATCTTTGTCAATAAAAAGACATCACACTGTTTTTTCATTTTCACCATCAGCTTGTTGACAAATTCCCATTTCAGTTTTCGTCTTGGGATGTTTTCGACACTATGTTTGGGTGGACAGGTATCAAATTTGACCACACCAAGCAGTCCATGTGTATCAATGTTACTCCCTTGATGGAATTCAATAACACCAAATGTGCTATGTTTGGTTTCCATAGCAATCATTTCACCAACATGTTTAGTTGTTTCATGTCTAGTCGACAACAGGTGAACAGCATTCCCATGATGCATCAGTATTTCTAGATAATTTTGGGTACTGACAGTGTTAGCATGGTGAAATTCTATCTCCTCAATATTCAATTCTGCATCTTTTATTTGTTTCCTGGCATTTACATCTAAAGCATCTGTGAGCTCCTTCTCGTCGCTCCTTACTTTCTCTATCACCCCTGTTGCTTTATCAGTAATTTTCTTTTTCTCTGCCTCACAATGAGTTTGGATTTCATCTGGTGTGTTTTTTGCCGCTGCTTTTTTCATCTCAAGTTGTTTTTCTTTTGCTTTCAACTGCTCCAACAGATTTTTGAGTTGTCTTTTATATTCCTCTGCAACCACCTGCAAGTCTCTATGGACATGTTCAGGAACTCTGTGATTGACTATGGTGCAGTCTGAGCATATAGGTACCTCACAAGTGTCACAGTAGAACTTTAGATGACTGTCTTTGTGATCACTACAGAATGCCTTGGACAAGTCAATACTATGAGCGCTAGACTCTGTGTACTCATCAATTGTAAGCATGTTATGGGAGCGGAGAGCAGGGACTCGCTCATGGATTTTAACACATGAAGTGCAACAAAACTGAGAACAATCCACACACCTGTGAATTGCTGGTTTCTTTTCACACATATCACATATTATGGGATGGTGAGATTTGAGCTGCTTCAGTTTCTGGACAGAGTCTATTAAGCTTGCTATGAAGAAATTTGACTTCAACCCCTGGATGGGAGTGTCACACTGAAGTCTGCATGTTGCACATCGTAGAACACCTTCAGATTGTGCCTTATAATCCACGAGACATTTCTCACAGAATGTATGAAGACAGGGTAGAAATCTAGGTTTCTTAAAAAATTCGAAACAAATGGAACAGCTAAGGAAATCCTCCCTGACTTCATTCAGGATTGACTCGGCAGATACAGGTGCTCCAGCCATTGTGACTGCAGTGATGTGTTGCAGTATCACTAGGTCATCAGTGCACAGTGAGTGTAAAAACCTGTAAAAAATATGTAACAAAAACATTTAAGCATAATTGTAATGGAATGTGAATTATGGCATATTTTATTTGCACAATTTTAAGTCATGGTACTGGGCTTCAATCCAACCTATGGCAGGCTCAACGTGTCAAAGTTAACACTATTAGGCTTGTCACAAAGGATATTGGACTTTAATCCTCAGACACTACCTGGCGTACAAATCAACCACCACCCTCAAGGTCTGGTCTTAAAATCCACTATAAATTGCTCTATACAGAAACAATGAAGATAGGTAGGAATCGTGGGGTTTTGAAAACTTCTAAAGAGATGAACAAACTGGAGATATGCTCACTATTTTTTTTTTTGAGTGTTGAATCAAATTCAGGTCGAGGTATGTGTGTGTGTAGCACTATCCGAAATAGTACTAGATCTAGGGGTAAAATGGTACTAGATCTAGCGCTAAAATGTACACAGTGAGAGTGGCATTGTTATCGCATTGTCAACAACATTGAGACGTCTCGTAATTACGGTACGTTTCACTGACAAACTGCACTGCAATCTGAATCATTACAAATATAAGAATCCAGGTGCGATTTCAAAAATTCAAGTATTTTTGGGTCACTCGTGTGGTTTTGTCCAGTAGGTCCATGGTCTGACCTATGAGCGTCATGAAAAATGTGGTCAATTGGAGTTTATTGGAGGTGTTGCTAAACTTTGCATATCCTGTGTTTGCAGAAACCTCATAGTTTACAAGCTCATAACACTAATCTTCAGAAGCGTCAATGTGTATAGCGGTCTAGTCAGGCTTGCTTTCTATGAAAATTCAATAAATTGGACAGAGTGTATCGATGTAAAGAGCGGTGAAATGAACCGACGGATGAACAGACAAATGGATGGACTGAAGTCAAAGCACTAGCTTTTGACGGACTACGTCCACGAAGGTTAATCATAGTGAGACTGTGTCACAATGTGACAAGGTCGCGTTCCCATGCACCTTTGAACTTTGATCAGGGGCTTAGTTTCTGTTCTTGCTGGATCTGATTGCCCTGCTCATTTTCCAAATTCAAACTGGATCTGTCGGATTTGAAGGCACTGCTCGCTTTCAAAATAAGAATCATAAATACATTCTCAGGATTAAATAAAGAAGATTGTGAGATTTAATATGGCAATCTAGCACTGGCATGTTAAAAGAAGTGGTGGCGGTGATTTTTTATGCCAAATCAGACAGTGTAGCCAGGTATTGTAAAATGGTCTGAAGCGGTGTACTTTGACACTCTGAGGTGAGCATTGACACAAGGCATTGTTGTGAACGCACTATTAATTTACTACTATTATCATAGTCAGTGTGGGGAATGCACTCTATAAAGCTATATAGTTCACCTAATACATTTAAGAGATATCATACCATGATGCAATTTGGCAAAATATTAATAATAAATTATTGTATTTCCCGGTTGTGGATTATTCTGTTTCTGGGTCAAATACAAAATAAATCTAAATAAATAAGTAGGTGAAATTGTGTTTGATCTGTCCATATTTCATCACTATTTATATTATTTTTAAAATACAACTTTTAGAAGTAAGAAAGTAAGCTACCTTTTGATTACGCCTGGGATTCATAATCTAACCCCAAATTTTAAGTTTGTTCATTTGTGATTATTAATATTGTTTACTGATGTTTAGATCAAACAAACAAAGCAGTATTTGTTAATTGATGTGGTAATATTATTGGTTAGAAAACAAATATTTCGATTGGTGAGGACTCAAAGGACATATTAAAATGGCTATAAATTATATTTGTTGTTAATTGCAGAATACAACAGTAACTTAGACAAACATCACCCCCATTCAAGAAACGTAAAGTAACTAAGCATTTACTGGAGTAGAAAGTGGAAAGAAAATTCTTCATTAGATGGAAGAACAAAGATGAAAAGATTTAATTTTAAAAATAAGAGATTGGCAATGTTAGAACAATTACAAAACAAGAAACAATTTTGAGTTTCATGATAATGAGATGCATGTTTAACATTAATTTGATATGATTTTAAGTTATTCTAATAAAATAAGACAATTATCATAATTTTATTTGTTGTGTATTTTACATATTTTATATTTATATCTGTATAACATATTACGTTTCACTGAAAGGCGGTGCTATTTTTCCTGCAAGTAAAATGCCCTTTGTGGTACTGGGATAATGCGTATGCATTCCACGAATCTTAAGCGTGTATTGAAATCTTAAAGTACGGCGGTCGTTGCGCCGCATCCTGTTCGATATGGGACTCATATCGACGTGTACAACGTGTGTAACAGACATTGTTTATTTACGTGAAATTCGAACACGCACTGCGCGACGACCACCACCCTTTAACCTCTCTACTGAACGGCGTGATTTTTTACTGTCATCACCATATTGTTCCGAACACCAAAACTGCAACATTGCCAGCTAAGTTGCTGACTGCTTTGGTGTACGCGTCTAAAGATCGTTATCTTACTTGACCTCCTCGGAACAACTCATTTTTAAGAGGGGGTGCCACTCGACTCAATGTGGGCAGTGTAAGTAAGCTCAAGTTAGCACACGCCTATTTCTCTCAGTGTGCTTGTTTTGTTTATTATTACAGCAAGTCTAAGAAGTATTTGGGCAGCAAATTGCAAACTCGCTAACGAATTGGCTAACTGCTTGGGTTTTGACTAAACAGTTAGCTTTTGAAGCTCTGGCGCCGACTCGTGGTCGCGTACACTCTGGTTGGAAGAGTCTATATTGCATTAAGGGACATAGAATGTTTTTACGTAGCCTGGAATTGCTTTGCGCGGCGTTATAATGTATAAGTAGTTTCTCTGTAGTCATAGTACAAATGTGAAGTAAACAAAATTATCAAGAGTGATTTTGGGTTTGTTGAAAAAATATCCGAAATGCTGTGACATTATAATTGGTGATGGGAATTGCCAAGCCAGTGTATAAAATAGTGAACACAAATTTTCGTAAATATTACTGACCGGGAAAGAAGCCCAGTGTCTTAAGTGTCTTAAATATAAATATTATACTATAGAACGGTATATCTCTCTTGGAGGATGTAGTGGCCCTGAAAAGGTTCATTTTGTTTAGGTTTCCTTAGTATATAGCGGTCCATATTAAAAATCCGCAATGTTGGAAGAAACCTCTAGAAAGTTCTGGTGTGATCATGTTCAGGGCATCCAGAATAGCGAGTTCAGTGAACCGATTAGCAAATACGTCATTTCTTTGCAATTCTCGTTTTAGATGCCGAAAACAAAGCTCGCAGGTATTAAATTGTGGGCTATATGGAGGCTGAAACAAGAGAGTGACTTGTCTGGCATCGAGCATCTCGCGGAGAGCGGGTTCGGTGAAATTACCGTGATGAAAACCACAATTGTCCATCACAACAGTGTCATGAAT